GCTTATAAATAACGAACTTAATTATACATTATTTTTAAAATTTAGCCTCTAGAAAATTCGAAATAAATCACAAAGAAAAATAACTTGTAAGAAAATTGTTTTTTATTAACGTTTTACTCTGTAATAGTGAATAATTAGTTAATTGATGAATCAAAATTAAGTAAAAGATAAAAAATTTGCTAGTTATATTATTTTTTAGGTTTATAAATAACTACTTAACAAAAAAAACCTACTGCACTAAAAAAGAAATATATGAATTAGCATCATTTATAAGCAAACCATTGGAATAATTGACAGAAAATAAAAATTTTAATTTGAAGTGAATAATAAACCAACAACAGACGTAACAAAATTTCTGATTAAAAGACCGTTTATAGCAGAGTGGGTCAGGTATTGGTTCGTTTGCAGTTTGAATTGATTTGCTTTTTGATAACGCTAATTTATATGTTTTTCGTTTGACGCATTAAAATTTTTTGTTATGTAATTTTTTTAAACCCTGAAAGTGTTATTGAACCACCAGTTTTTGATGTGTAAGTTAATGTTCATTCCTTTATTAACTTAATTTAAATTTGATGCATTAAACGATAAATGAACAATTGTTTGGCCAGTTTCTTTATTAATTTTTGACATTCATATAATTCCTTCAGTAGTTTAAAATAGATTTTTTAAATTTTATTTATGTCTTATTTGTACAAGGTTTAAATACAATAAATGACTTTGATTGCACTTTATTTCATAAAAATAAGGTCATTTTTGACTAAAATTGTTTTCTGATTTAAGGACACTTATCCCAGTTAGTGAGGTAAAAATTGAGAAAAGTTTAAGTAGGAAATGTGTGCATCAACGTTGTCAACTATTGTGCTTGAATGGGTATACTTTCACACATGCAATAGGCATACGCAACCCTTTCCTTTGCATTTTATTAAAAAAACATCATGTAAGTATATTTTGAATTCTCCGTACGATTATTGTAAAGTTATCTTAAATACAAAAAAAAAAAGATACTCCTACACATCATTTTAATGCAATCAAATTCAATTCTTTCATAATGTAACATGTTTATTTGAGATCATTCCCAATTGATTATATCAAAAAAGTGTACAGTTGATGGATCAGCAACTTTCTTCGATATTTTTCTATGCTTTTTAAATCCACGTCTGATATATAAATGATATCTGTTAGAAAAATCTATGTGTATTGAACCTCTTGAATCGAAATTCACTGGCACGTAATACAACCCTAGAGAAAATAAAGAAGCACTACATGATAGTTTTTCTTAACGTTTTAGAAATAAATATGAGGTGGGAAAGAAATATAGACAAGAAATGAGTGTGTGAGCGTATGTAACAAACATAAGTGTTATGTTAGAGATTCATTTAATCAGCGTAGGTAATAAAACATTTTCTTTCCATTATTGAAAAATTCGGTAAAAGTGCGCAGGATAAGGCTGGCCTGCACAGCAGCGCATTACACCATGGCTTTGATTAAAACTTTTGTTCATGCAATATATTCCTTGTTACTTCTCGTTTATCAAATGTTAATATATTTGCTCAAATAACGACTCATTAACATACACACACTTATTTTATTGATTATTGCACTCTTCTTGTACTAAATAGTAATTAGAGCCCACTTTTGTTAAAAAAAAAAGGTGTTATAACTTTAACTTCAAAAAGGGCAGGATGTATTTAAGAATGGTAAAAGTCATTAAAGTCACTTTTTGCGATTTACGCAAAAAGTATACATTTGACAAATAATGTATAATAAAATAAAAAATCCATTTTAAAAATAAGAATCTAATAAATTTTTTTAAGCTCAGATCGGTCCTGCAGTTTTCTAGTAATTTGCGAAGAACCACTCGTTTATGCCATTATTTTAAATTCCATAACTTTTGTTCTGTTACGTACGAAGACTTGTAAGAAATAACTTAAAAACAATATGTTTTTTTTACCGTACTGAGCAGAAAGAAGGAACTTTCGTCCCACTTCGCGCAGAATTGGTGAATAATTGTATACAATCCACAGGAGGAAGCAAATAATCCCTTAAATCGCATGCTTATTGTCAATTTCCTACAATTGGAGACATTTTTTATTTTCCTGCCCTAGGTGCCCAATATACTATTATAGGCCTAAATACTCAAACAAAATCTTAACAAAATTAATTTTATGTATTTTAAGAAGTTTAAAAAAAACTAAAAAAAGTTCGTTGCGAAAAACATCCATAAAAAACAATTGGTCCAACGTAGAAGAATTTTGTGAACGTGTTTTCGTTAATTATAAGTTTCTCTACAAGATCCTGCAATGCTGTACCATTTTACGCAGCCAAAGTGTAAGAAAAACTGATTTTAGAAAAAAAAAGCTTCTGTGTTCTGGTAGTGGGGGGCCACTGCACTCGAATTGCGGCTATAGGAAAAATTCCGCAAAATTTTGACTGAATTAATTCTTGATTTCATTGCTTTTTGAAACAAAAAAGGTAATTATAATTATATTATGATACGACATTTTCTTACAATTAGATGTACGTCTTATATGTATTTAAATACCATAGTTAATTGGACATTACTTTTAAAATTCAGCATTTTGAAAAATTTGAAATGAATCAGAAACAAAGAATAATTTGCAATAATGATTTTTGTTTTAATTATATAACTTAAGGTAAAGTATGTCATACTATGTTAAAGTACGTAAAAGTTACTTTTTTATAGCGTTGATCGGTTGCAATTGATGAATTCTTAAAAAAATATCTTTTTTTAACCAGCATTGGGGGGCTTTGGATTGAACGTAGAAACAACTATAAATTACCACAGGATTTTGTAGAAAATCTTATCGTTGGTTGACGAAACAGACACGCAAAAAACGAAAAAATTTGTTATTTACAAGAATTTTACAGAAACGTGATCTACTTCTACTCACAACGTAGCTTACTTTATAGATGCAGGCTGGTCGTTGCATAAGGTAACTTAGCATTTGGATGGATTGGCTTATTTTTTTCAAAACTGCATCTTCATTACGTTCGTAGTCATTAAAAAAGCAGTGTTTGCGTTATCTTTGGTAGTATCCCAAATAATTTATTAATACAGAAACAATGGAGCGTTTTTGTTGTACCGTAAAAAACATCAGTCGAGAGATTAAGTTCGATCGCATTGTCGATATTCCTATGCATACGAAACTCATGCTCAACTATAAAATAATACATTATCATATTATCATTTAAACTGCCGTTTTTATTTTAAGACATAAGGAAATCCAAAACAAATTTTAGTCAAAATTTTTCAGAACTTTCGGAACTATCAGACCGTCCAAGCTCTCTGTTGTAAGATCAATTTTTCTCACACCTTGGCTTGGTGTAATAATATGGCATTGCAAGATGTTGAAAAGCAAGTTACGATTAACGAAAACAAGTTTGAAACATTGATATATATGTGGGCCCAAACACTTTTCATGGGAAATTTTCAAAAAAAAACCTTTTTTTAGTTTTAATAGAGCTTCTTTAAAACGCATAACATCGATTTTTCTTTAAAAAATCTGTTAGGCTTATGTAAAGCCTCGTTTCTGGATATGAAATTGGTTTACATCAAGTCAAAATCTAATATGGAGAAAAAAGGGATATGCCTGAGATTGGTTGATCCGTACACGCCAGCACCTGAACAATCAATAATCTTTAGAATGTAAATATGTAATTAAGGTGTATCATAAAAATCTTCGACACATACATATTCGTATATCATGACTCACTTTTTGTCATTTTGAAACCAACCTAATTGTCGGAAAGAATTTATAGAGCCCACTCTTTATTCTAGAATACACGTTTCTTGTTTATACAGATAAGTCTTGACACATCCAACCAAAAGTGATTCTATGACATCTCCTTAGTTGGTACCGGTATTCACGGTCTTCAATAAGATGATTCTATTGAACTCGTTAGATCAATAGATTATCTGCCGTGAAATGGTACATTCATGTGGTATACGCATTTTTCATTTCATGTACTTAACAAGGAGGACATCTTATATTTTTAAAATAAATTTTCTTCCTAACTAATGTCCAATTCCTTACATTATTATAAAAAAATTCTTGAGCTGCTTTTTTTGGCTTCCCAGAGCCATTTATGTTTTATAATCGATTGTAGAGACCTTGACTAAACATACTGAGATTTACAGGCGTACACAGTTATTAATGACAAGGAAATTTTTCTCTCTTTCATCCATTATATTAATCTTGTTTGGTATATAAAAAATTCGTTAAATAATAAATAGCATAGGCATTTGAGTTTACTATGTCGTTACTTTTTCTCAGCACGTATAAATAGTTGATTTAAGAGCTTTGTACAGTTATAGTGCTGGTAATCTTGTAAATTGGGTGACTAAGGATTATTCGTTAAGCATACTAATAATTCGTTTATCAGCTATAAGAACGCCTGAGCACTTAGTGTTATAGAGGATTATTTCTAAGTTAATAAATAGCTTACCTAATATCTACTAAAAGTGCAAGCACTTGAGTTTACTTCATTACGGGGAATAAATGTTTGGTAGATATTCTATTTATCAACTTAATAGTTGTAGTAGTAGTAGTAGTATAAGTAGTGGTGAGTCTGATGTCGGGGAAAAGTACTGGAATTCTCGCAATGTCTTATTTTTCAGACGTGTGACTGTGGGTTAAGCTGCGGATGTACAGTAGAGTACACATACTTATATCCATTAACCATCATACTCATTAACCAGATGTAAAGAGATCTTACACTTATAATTTTGTACATAAAATAATTCTTAGGGTGTATCTAACTTGTACTTCAAAAAAGTTTTTTTATACTTATTTAACTCAAGGGTACAACAGTAATCTTTTTTTTTTAAGTATGGCATGTTTACTACTTTTTTTAGTGCCACAGCTTTTTTTCCTCTTAATTTTTTATTAAATTTGGAACTTTTATAAAAACATTAAAAAATGTTGCATACACAATAATATAATTATAAAAAATGCATTTGCTAACGCATTTATGCATAGTTTACATAAATATTAGAAGATACATAATCGTTGTAAAATGCTTCAACAACGAACACTGTGGAAAAGACAGAGATCCGTAAGTTAATAAAATGTTGCCATATTTTATTCACGTGCTCTCTGTTTTGGTATTCATACTCCTGCAAATAGTGTCTCTGCTGACGTTTACCTCAGTTGGGACTGTAACTCTACCGCTGAACCATCGTTTCAGCATATGCAGCATGATATGTAACGGTGGCATTTCCCGGGAACAGCGTGTAGAGCAATTTTTTCTGAACCGAACCCCGTTTGAATTAATTTTTTAGGGCAAATAGCTTTTAAATGAGAGGCGATTGAAAATACGTTCCAAACTACCCCTAAATGGGGTTGGAAGGGTATGGCGCGCCCACATGAACTCGCGACGTTGTCACATTGTCATTGAGCTTATATGGTAAGTATACATAGATAACTCTATGTGCGCACGCACGAGCGTCTGCTATGCTATACTGCTGTTAAATTAAAGGTTGGATGTTACAAGGTAAACATTGTCTGCTCCTTATGCTGTCATTTTTTGAAGCCATGCCCCAGATGTAACTGCATGAATATTTATAACATTCGAATCATGTAACACAATAGTATAATGGGATGAATGTATCACCTACAATTAATAAATAAGTGTCGAACTATACTGCAGCCGCTCAGTCGAAGTTCTATTGGCTTGCACGGGAAAATAGCGTACACTACAAATAGTTTTTTTATGTTTACAGGTGTTTTAAAATCCCCATAAATTAATTTTTAACATGTCAAATCATGTAACAGCAAGAACATATCTTAGTATAGGTGATGAAAAAATAAGTAGTACCTTTTTCCTCATAACAAAATTTATTTTAAAATATTTTAAAATACAAATCATAATCTTATAATTATGAGTTAAGGAATTGACCTCCAAGAAATATAAAAAATGGAGCTTCTTATAATGCTTTATATGCTGATGTACAAATACTACATGAATATGGGAACTTTAACTTTAATTACATTAGATAATAGTTATTACACAAAACTTCTTGAATAAAGCCAAAAATATGGTATGCTAAAATCATAACTGTGAAAAGGGCACAAAAGAGATTAAACATAAGGACGAAAGAAAAGGAATCACCACAATCTGTAGTGCAACTTGTGCGCGGTACCTTCGAACAGAGTCTACGTGGCTTCTTGGCACACGTTTAGGTCGAACTTGACGATGGCCTACTGTTTGACGGCAGGTAGGTTCAACTATTCTAGGTACGAGCCGACGAGGAGTTGCAAGTCCACATGCTTGGTCAGCTTGACCACGTAGAACTCGGTGAATCGTTTACGCAAGCCGACGGGCAGTTCTTTCTTGCCAACATCCGTCGCCGGGTTCATGCAGGTGAATAAGGTGAAATCGGGATAGCGTGCTATGGCTTCTTGATCGCCACGTTCCAGAAGAGACAGGGAGCCCGACGAGCCTTCGAGTAGACCGGAAAGGCACTCCGGAATCTTGGCGTTTGCGAGATTGATCTCGTCGAGCAGGACAAACTGACCTTCTATCAAAGCCTTAATTAAGCTGCCTTACATAAAGGCGAAGGCCAACGAGAGCTGCCTCTTCACTTGAGCCGCCAGCTTTCTCAGCTTGGCAGCCAGCTGGTCTCACTTTCTTACAGTCTTGCGGCTCTTGTCTTCCGGCTCGCTGATGCTTTGACCTGAGTCACTTCAAAGCAGCACCCGTACTGGTATTCATCAGCGCAACGAGGGTCTTCCATTTGCTTTTCGTGAGGCAAGAGTCAATGTGTTCCAGGAATTTTTTTCTGAAAGAATATGGAAACTTAAATTGTTGCGTGAAGATGTTAAAAAATAATTGAATTGCATTTTGTTAACTAATATATTTTAACCTTGAAATAGCACAGAGCAACAGAATATGTCAATGGCGTCTTGAAGTAATTTAAGAGCATAATCTTGGAGTAAAATTTTAAGCCGTTAACAGCTCTGTGACACCAATTTAATAGATCTCTAGTGGAAATTAATCTTCATGTTTTTACAAAAAAAAGTTCTTCGTCTTTATCACTATCGGTATTATTATTGCCTACAAAAAAAAAAAGAAAACATCAACGAACTTAGAAGTAACTGTATTTCATACTGGTAACAGAATTTGGACAATTGCACTAAATTCTTTTTTCGACAGCGACTCCATGTTAATGCACAGCAAGTGTTTCTCAAACAGACTACTGGCTCCGGATGACTGACATTGGAAGCCGGACATCATGGGGATCAATCTCTGCGTGAAAAACAGCTGAAATCCACTGTTAACGTGAAAAGTGTCTTTGCATCTAGGAACAGACAGAGTTACAGTTTGCATGACATTACTCAAAATGCTAGCAACGTCTCGTGCAGCACTGTATATAACAAACAGAAGGAGCCAATTTCCACATGAAACTGCCTGCGTGAGCACACCAGCCTGCCACTCAAATTCTCCAGATATATCGGTGCATCCGTAAGTTCCCAGCAACATTTATGAGTCACTTTTATCCACAAATTATACTTTAATGAAATTGGATGGCCAGTGTCCAGTTATTTTGGCCAAATATTCAACGATGGCTGTTTAACCGCAGCCAACTGCACCTTGCAGGCAAATGCATTTTCTTCAAGCTACTCCAAGAGCCAAACTGCGCAAGTTTTCTTCCATTGCTGGCACAGGAATTAAATCACTATTTGTACATTGGGTTTTGTTGTTTAAAACTGGTAATAAGACACTACCAACAGAAACGACGGATGAAATATTGTCAGCCATATCATATAACTCTTTTGTACAAGATGTTTTTTGTAAGCAGACGTTTGTATCATTTTTTCCTGTATCTAATTCAAATTTGTCTGCATCGCTCAGCAAAGTTTTTCCACACTCAAACTGCAAAATTTCTGCCATTTCTATCACTACCCACTTCACTTTACAGCAAGCCTATAAACAAAATACACAATTTTGAACTACTCATTTCACAAAAATCATTATAAAAATTGCACAAATAGTATTATACATGTATTACCATTTCACATAATCTTCTTTATATAAAAAATATTTGTAAAACTTTGAACACTTCCCCATTCACCTTAATAGTTTCAATTGCACAAATAGTATTATACATGTATTACTATTTCACATAACCTTCTTTATATAAAAAATATTTGTAAAACTTTGAACACTTCCCCATTCACCTTAATAGTTTCAATCGACAATACTCGTTGTATTTTCAATATTCCCGAGATAATTTTGGTGCATAATCAATGTACTCAAAGAAAACACAGAAGTACTTGCTTTGTCAAAAAATAAACAATTCTTCTAGTCTGATGTCGAAGACTGTATAAACAGAATCAATTATTTTTTAACCACTGAGCAGTGCAGAAGAAAGTTTTATCACCTTCAACATCTGTAAGTATAAGAAGGTGTAAGATCATAACAACTGCATTAGAAATAATATAAAAGGTTTTAAGTCCTTTCAAGTAACAATTTTAATTTATGACTATTTTTACTTATATTCTGAATGACGATTATATTTTCATATACAATTTGTATATGATTTTTAGTTATGTTTATGTAGATTTAAAAAAACCTTAATTATTGGAAACTACTTCCAAACATACATGACAACAACCTAAGTATATTACAGCAGACACTGCTCATGTAACTAAAAACCATTAATTTATCATACACACTTGCATGCTTTACAATAATAAAATTAATAATGCTATAAGTACTATACAATCATTTTATGTAATATTATTCAAAATCTATTTAAAATATTCATATACTCAACAGTGTATCGAAAAAGAAACTTGAAAATGTCATGCTAATTAAATGTTTGGTTAAAGTACCTGCCTTCAGTTAATTATTAACCATCAACACAAACTGACGGAGTTACAATAACAAATTTATTACGACATACACAAAATAAGAAAGTAATAAAACCAAAATACATAAAAAAATAAAACTTCTATCATAAAAAAAAGTGAAAAGTGAAGTTATGTTTACATTAGTTTATTGGGAGACACAGACAAAATCATCAAGCATCCTTGCCTCAACTAATGTAAGAGTTGAAGGCTCTACAACATCCGCTAGATGGGGTAAAAAGTGGTTTCCTGTAACCGTGCTACGTACCAGTGGTGAGTGCCGTTCATTTATAAAAAAATAATTACAACCAGCTAAAAAGTAAACATACTACTAAGATCACGTAGTCAGACATCAGGTTAGATTACCTCTTTCTTACGTTAAACGTAGCAAACACTTCTCGGGAACTTTCTACGCACTATTGGTAAGAACGTAGCAGCTACAGGAATAAGCTCGCGGTGGGCAGGGCAGTGGGTCAGTCGGCTAGGTCGTGGAACGGATATTTTAAATGTAACATACTAAGTAAGTTACCTCAGGTAACTTACCAACCACGGCTCGTGGATCGGCACGCGGGAGACCGTGGTTTGATTTCCGACCAATGCAACTTCTCTGGCAAGTGCCTCTGGGTCCGTACAACAACCCGGGGCGCTTACTGGCCGCTTTGTTTATTGATTAAATAAATGAAATAACACAAGCGTCAATCACCACACAACCCGAGGCACTTTTTGGTTGCTTTGTTTATTCATAACATAAATAAAATAACACAAGGTCCAATCACCACATAACCCGGGGCACTTTTTGGTGGCTTTTTCAATTGATATAATAAATTAAATAACACAGGCGCCAATCCCCACACAACCCGTGGCACTCACTGGCCGCTTTGTTTATTAATTAAATAAATTAACTAACACAAGCGCCAATACCCACACAACCCGTGGCGCTCACTGGCCGCTTTGTTTATTTAAAAAAAAATAATTAACACAAGCGCCAATCCCCACACAACCCGGGGCGCTTACTGGCAGCTTTGTTTATTAATTAAATAAATAAAATAACACAAGCGCCAATCCCCACACAACCCGAAGCGCTTACTGGCCGCTTTATTTATTAATAAAATAAATAAAATAACACAAGCGATAATCAACACACGCAACCCAGGGCGCTTACTGACCGCTTTGTTTATTGATTAAATAAATAAAATAACACAATCGC